TTATCAGATATGGCCAATCCATAGTTAGACCACACTGTATCTGGATTTCAGCTTCACTGTTTACTAGTTGTACAACTTTGGGAATATAATTTGCTGTCTTGTGAATAACTACATAGAGATCCTAGAATAGCACTTAACACAGAACATCCTGTTAGTGCTTTTTTTTTTTTAACCTGGCATCATTGTTTTCAAGTGTATGCATTGCCTGCATACATGTGAGTGCACCTATGTCAGTGAAATGCCTGCAGAGGTCAGAAGAGGGTGTGGATCCCCTACAACTGGAATTACAGACAGTTGTTTGTTGCTGTGTGGGTGCTGGGATTCAAACCTGGTCCTCTGCAAGAGCAGTTAGTGCTCTTTAACTACTGATCCATCTCTCCGGCCCCCTTGGCACCATGTTTTATTAGCTTCTTTGTGTGTGTGTGTGTGTGTGTGTGTGTGTGTGTGTGTGTGTGTGTGTGTGTTGGTGCCCTCAGAGGCCAGAAGAGGGTATCTGATTCTTTGGAGCTGGAGTTACAGGTTGTTATGAGTTGCCTGATATGGCCTGAATTCAGGTCTTCCCCGTGGGAGCAGCAAGCACTCTTAACTGCTGAGTCATCTCTCCAGGTCCTTTGTTAGCTCATTTTATTGAGGGAAGTTTGCAATGAATTTACAAGGTGAACCTGTACCTGATTGACAGCATAGGGTCCTGGTAAGTCTTGGAATAGCCAGAGCCAGGAGTCAAAATCTTCAGTGACTACAGAGGAGTTGCTCCATAGACACTGTCCCTGTCTGGAGAGCCAGCAGCAGGATGGGCAGAGGTGCTATGGCCAGTGGAGTGAGTAAGAGAGGAGCAGCAGTTTGCATTAGAGGGTGGAGGAACTGTGGTCCAGTTGTGGTGACATAACAGTGGTCGTTGCCCTGCTTTATTACTCTGGAAAGGGTGATGGGGGAACAAGAGGAGTACCACCTCTTTCTCCTCACATTCATGCTTCACTTTGCAGCTGTGTTCATTCACTTAGCATGTGCCTGCTGAGTGCCTGTGCAGGCCAGCCATGGTGCTGGTCACTGGGCATGTGGCAATAAACACGATAGACTTCACTTCCTGCATTTTAGAACCTGTTGGTTAAGGGGAGAGAGAAGGACATTAAACAGTTGTGTAAGTCAGTGATCAATAACAGATTGGATCATGCTACTTCCCCATTCCAGAATCTTCATTCTGCATTGCAATGGACTAAAACCCTGACTAGGCAGAGTCGGGCCCCATTCCTACTCTTGGCTGCTCTTCTGCCCATTGCTCCTCTGTCCTTCAGGGTCCCAGCCCCCACAACTGCTTGCTATGGCCTAGATGGCTTATGACATCATAACTTTGCCCTGCTCACACCCTCTGTCCTCCTTGCATGCTCCCACTGGACCTTTGAGGCCACTGTAGTGAGCTTGTTTTCCTTTCTTGGTCACTGTCACTTTCCCAGTCCTGTTTCTAAGGCACCTTGGATTTTCTGGGATTTGGTACTTCAGATATAGACTCTGAAGGGGCAGCCGGAGGTGCAGCTTAGATGTTTGCCTAACATGCACATGGCAGTGGGTTCCATCCCCAGCACCACAAAAAGGAAAAAAAAAAAAAGTTAACTACAGAGGGGTAGTGTGCAGCTTCTCCTGAAGTTAAAGTTTCTATGGGTTTAGGAGCTGCCTCCAGGGCCTGGCTGGAGAGTGGAGGGACTGGTCCCTCCTTTGTAAGAACAGAAGAATGGTTGGACTCTGGGGGTAGGCAGAATGTCAGTATCTTCATGGAGATGCATATCTGGTGGAGAGTCATTCCTATAAGGGAACCAGTAGAACCCACCCTGGAGCTGAGCAGAGTCACAGATCCCAGCATGAGGAGAGTTTAGAAGTCCTGCCGAACCTGTTCAACCTGAGATCGGAAATGTATTATTGGGGGCTAGCCTTGTCATCCTGTGGCCACCAATGGATGTGACTGCCTTGGTTGTCTTCTCCAAGGAAAGGGTCTGAGAAGTCCAGTGTAGGTGAGGAGCTTCTGTGGCAGAAGACTGTGGGCACAGGCTGAGAAGGTAGAGATTGTTTGGAGCCACCTGAGTTTGTGGAGGCTGGGATAGCCGGCATGTGTCAGCAAAGGACTGAGGCACTGGAAGCTCTGTCCCTGGCTGAGTTGCAACCAGCCTAGAGCCCCTCGGGTATGGGCAGTTAATCTCTGAAGGCCAGAGTCACCACCACTAGAGAGCAGGAACATTGAACTTTTCAATCACATTAATTTCCACAGGAAATTGTTGTCTTCCCTTTGTCCAAAGATTAGTGATTTATATTTACCATCCTCTTAACTAGCCTTGAAATTTATTGTTGCCAGGTCATCACCAGCATCCATAAATTTCAGGTGGCAGCTGAGCATAGCCAAGTGGCCTGGTCCTTTGAAGGGTCTGCACCAGCCCTTTCTGAATGGGGCTGCCTAGCTACAGACAAGCCTTGTGCAAACGTCCCCCAGAGCAGGTGGCATTCACCTCACAGGGGAAAGGAGATGAGATCAGTTGGACAAGGTTGTAGGGAGGCCTTTTCAGAAGCAGGCACGGTGCAGGCACCTGGCCTATACCCCTCAGTATGTTACTGAAGGCAGCATGCTTCTAGCTATGGACGGGGCTCAAGGAGCTCAAGGAGCTTTGGGTAGGGAGCAGGATTGGATGGATGGCCATCTGTCCTCCTCCCAACTATGAGACCATAAGCAAATTACCATAATCTCACTCTACCTCAGCTCCTCATCTGTAGTAAGAATACCTGGCCTCATGGGTGTATTCCGAGGGTTAAATCTCAGTAGCTACAGGATGTTTTCTGAGAGCACAAGTGTGGGAGGTATGGTATGGGCCTGAGTCAGTTTGCCTTGTGTGCTTGCTTACGCTGTCTTACCCAGTTCTCCTGTTTGGATTTTTAAACTTTGTTTCTGTTTGATTTGTTTATTTTTACTTTATTTTATGTGTATGAGTAATGAATGTATGTAGACACACCACGTGTGTACAGTGCCAGTGGAGGCCAGACAAAGGTGGCAGATCCCCTTGGAACTGGAGTTATAAATGATTGCTAGCTGCCCTATGGGTGCTGAGAACTTGAACCCAGGTCTTCTGCAAGAGCAGCCAGGGCGCCTAACCACTGAGCTATTTCTCTAGTCCTTTCTTTTGTTTGTTTTGAGATGCATTCTCATGTAGCCAGACTGGCCTTGAACTTATTATGTAACTAAGATTGACCTTGAACTTCTGATCTCTTGCCTTTACTTCCCAAGTGTTAGACTTACAGGTATGCACCACCATGCTAGGGTGTTAACTAGGCAAGCTGTTTACTACTGGGCAAGCTGTTTACTACTGCCCTACATCTCTAAACCTCTAATAATACTTTTTTTGTGTGTACACAGAAATTTAAATTTCATATAATTTGTATGTGTCACAGAAATATCAGTGTGATTTTTTTTTTTTTGATGCTGGTGTCTCACTGTTTAGCCCAGGCTAGTCTCCAACTCCCTGTCCTCTTACCTCAGCTTCCTAAGTTTCGGGATTATAGGTATATACTGCCACATCCAGTTTGATTTTTTTTAACCATTTAAAAATGTTAGTGCCGCTGGGCGTGGTGGCGCATGCCTTTGATCCCAGCACTGGGGAGGCAGAGGCAGGTGTCTCTCTGTGAGTTCAAGGCCAGCCTGGTCTACATAGCAAGTTCCAGGACAGCTGGGGCTACACAGAGATTCTATCTCAAAAAGACCAAAAAATCAAAGTGTACCTTGCAGAAGGCAGAAGTTTCCTACCTTTTCTAGTAAGTTTGGGGCAGAACTTGTTGGTTCACCCTGGTCTACATAGTGAGTTCCAGGACAGCTGGGGCTACAGGGAGACCCTGTCCCAAAAAAAAAAAAAATATTAGTGCCTAAATTTAAGGATTTAAGGTGTAGCTTAGTGATAGAGCACTTACCTCCCATGCGTGGTGCCAAAGATTTGATCCCCAGCAACACAAAATATTTTTAAAGTCATTTTGGGGACTGGGGAGGTGGCTCATGGGTAAAGTGCCTGCTGTGCAACCATGAGGACCTGAGTGCAGATTCTTAGTGCCCACATAAACACTGGGCATGGTGGCATACAGCTGTGACCCCAGTGCTGAGCAGACAACCCTGGAGTTCACTGACTTTCCCACCTAGCCAAATCAATGAGCTCCAAGTTCAATGAGAGACTCTGTCTCAAAAAATAAGGTGGAAAGTAATTGAGACAGACACTCAGTGTCGACCTCTGACCTCCACAAGACGTGTGCACAAACAGACCCACACACCACACAAACGTGCATATTACCACACATAGGCACATACATATATACACACAAGCCATTTTAGCTTATAGACCGTGGCTGGCAGGATTGTTGTCCCCATACCTTACTTCCAGTTCTGTGTCCTTGCATGGTCCCTTCAGTCCCCTGCCTGCTTTTTTCTCCTAGAATGCCCTGATGACTTGAGTTCAGTCCCCAGGACCCACATGGTAGAAGAGAACCAACTCCTTCAGTTTGTCCTCTGACCTCTACACACTCTCACACACACACACACACACACACACACACACACATGCTATAGTTCCTGTGCTCATCCCCTGTAAATAAATAAATAAATAAATAAATAAATAAATAAATAAATAAATAAATAAAATTTTAAAAAAGAAGGAAAAACAGTTAGTGGGCCTAATTTGATCCATATGTCATGGTTTCCTGGGGGCTAGAAGCTGAAGTTGTCTGAAAAGGGTATTCACTTTACTGTCCTGGGTTGTCTTTGAGTTACTAAAAGAAGGTGCCCTCACGTGGGTTTTTCCAGTGACACCATAGTGTCTCCTAAGAGATCATCTTAAGGACATGGTCAGGAGCCATATGGGAGACTGGAGCATAGGGAGTTGGTACCTGTTTGTTTCCTGTAGACAGCCACAGTGGTGCTGTCTCTAGATTGGCCAGAACTGCCATCCTGCCTCAGGTGTTGACAGTCCCCATCTTTGTTTCAGAGAACAGCCCCAGCCAAGATGGGAAGGCGTCTGGGATGCGACCACCTGTGGTGATTCTCTTGGGCTGGGGTGGCTGCAGGGACAAGAACCTGGCTAAGTATAGTGCCATCTACCATAACAGGGTGAGTACTGTGGGCAAATACCCAGGGTGTGGGCTCTACCACCCTTGGCTGCTTTGTGGGGGAACTTGGAGCCTCTAGCTGCTTTGTCTTTGGCTGAGCAAAGGTTGATGACCTATGTGTCAGCCCTAGAACAATGCCAAGAATGGGGACTTGGGCAGGGTTGTTGCCCCCATACCTTATTACCAGTTCTGTGTCATGTGACCTTCTTCAGTCCCCTACTTGCTTTTTCCTCCCAGAATGCCCCAGTGGGCAGCCTTGACATGTTCCCTAGTTGTGGAGTAAGCCCAGGCTCCAAGTCCTGAATGAGGATGCCTCTTTGGATGCAGGAGCCAGGGTGGGGTGCCCTGGGCATAATTTATGCTTCTAGGACTTAAGGTGAGTTTCTCTTTTAGGACTAATAGTGATTCCTTCCCTCCTTTCCATTCCCAGTCAGGGACTCTTGGAGAAGAGTCCTGCTGCTTCTCAGGCTATGCTGAGATTTGTATGTAGATGTTGTGGTAACTAGCAAGAGCCCTGGGAGGGCCTGGTTACATTGTGGGGAAGCCTCTTTTATGTTTTTGTCTAGATCTTCCCAGAGCAGTCTTCAGCAGGGCTACTAGAACAGAGAATGAGACTGAGTACACATATTTATAGGTGATGCTTGGGGTCAGTCTGTGGGGGTGTAATCAGGGATATGATATTAGATTTGCCATTCAGAAAGCCCCTCACTGCAGAGTGAGAAAAGGACTGGAGGCACCGTAATTGGAAGCCAGCAGTAAGTTTAGAGGGGGTTGCAGTGACCTAGGACAGAGGGTGTGGAGGACCTTTGGGGCTGGTGGTACAGGGGCAGGGAAGGTGATGGATCAAGGAGCTTGTAGGAAGTAGAATGGTGGGCTATTAGATATTAGGAGTGGGCACAGGGTAAGGAGACATCCAGAGCCATGCCAGGGTTCCGGCTGGGACACTTCTCAGGTGAGGAGGTGTGTTTTGGGATGGGAACATTAAAAACGATTCATAAGTCCTAGGGTAAATGAGATCCTCAAGGAGCATAGAGAAGTAGAGAAAAGAGCTTAGGACAGTCCTGAGGAGCCCAGACTTAAAAGAGTAGAAAATGAAGAGGGTTCTAGAAGGAAAGGGGCATGGCCAAGGATGGACAAGAAAAGCTTGGAGGGTGTGACAGTCCACAGGAGAGTCTTTGGGAAATGGGCTGTTGTAGGGAGTGAGGCTGTTATGTGGGCAGAAGGTGTGAGGGAGAGAGTGGGTGAAGGGAGGCTCCAGAGAAGATGGGTTGAGGTTGCAGGGTAGGTATGGGGTAGCCTCAAAGAGGGAGGCTCTGCTTTCACCCTGGCAGAGGATAAGATGAAAATCTTCTGTCTAAAACTCCAATATTTTATTATTTGAAAGAAAATAAAACTACCATATGCTGTCACCTAGAGATTGCCCCTACTTCCACCTTAAGGTACACTCTTCCAGTTTTTTTCTGTGTGCCTTCTGCCTATATATGATCTAGTCAGCTACTGTTTGTAGCCTGCGTCTTTAGGATCACCTTCTCAGCTTAGTGAGTTTTCATCAAATCCAGCTTCCAGTCAATGTTGATGCCCAAATATGATGTCCCCAAAACATCCTGTACAGCTGATTTGGCCAAAATCCAGGATCCAGTCCAGGGTCCCACATTATTATCTAGTTATCTTGTTCCTTAAGCCTCTACATCCAAGATAGCTTCTTGTCTCATTTAAAAAGTATTTACTTTTGGCTTATTACCTAATAATGTATGACACATGTGCTGAGGGAAAAAAGAGCAATAGGAACTGAAAGACCTTTTCCCAGACTTGACCATTTGGGAGCATGGGTGTCCATCAGCAGTCCCCTTCAGTTTTGGAGCCTCTGGGGCTGACAGCTCAGGGGACTATGGCTGGTGACTGGCTGGCCATTCCATTTTTCTGTGTCACCTGAAAACTGGGCCCACACACTTCTCTCATCATTAGTGCCATCCTGGCCACAGATCCCATTGGCTGAGGATTTACTTTGTGCCAGGTGCTGTTTTGGTCACTTGAGGTACATTTTCCTCATTTAATTTCAGCCATAACCTTTTGAGGTCTACCCCAGTTATAAATGGGGGCACAGACTGAGAAAGAGGAAGTGAATTACTCTTTGCTTGCACTGTTATTAACGAGTAGGGCCAAGGATTAAGCCCAGACCTATCTGACCCCATTCCAGGGCCTGCCCAACTTAGATGCTACTGGCCGAAAGGCTCACTGTCTCTAGAACAAATTAAGAAGAGGAGTTAAGACCGACCCTGTCAGGCTAGCTTCTGCTGCCTTTTCTAATTGGCCTAATGGGGACCTATCTAAAGGTTTGACGTTTACATTTGACATAGGCAATGAGGGGCATTGAAACCTAAAGTGAATTTGGGTCTAGATTTTAGAAATTGAGGGGCAACAGTATTTACTATATTTGGAATTTCAAATTGAGTGTGAGGAGTGGTCCTAGGCCTGGGACCCAGACAAATTTGTGGCCCAGACCCCTGAATTCAGATAGCATGGACTCTGTTTGCAGGACCCTACAGGGGAAAGTGACAGTAGCCAGAGATGAATGTGATATCGTTTTGGCTCAGATATCACAGCAGGGTGTAGCCAGCAGCAACACCTTAACTGTGCGAGGCGAGGCAGGGTTGGGCTAGAGGACAGACAAGGGAGGAACTGGAATGAAGAGAATTTTTCTGGTCAGTTCAGATGTCTCCAAAATATGTTTCCAGGTCCAGGCCTCAAATGCATACTAGTCTGAGGAGGTATGGTCAGCGTGAAGCAAGGAGTCCAAAAAACAGGCCTTGAGTTTAACTTCCATTCTTGGAAGGCACCTCTATCTATGACTAGTGAGGTCAAGCACCCAGGATGAAGCACGACCCTGTGGAAATTTGGGCTACTGGGCTCCTCTAACTTTGCCTGTACCAGCACCCCTCTGCATCCCTGGGGACTGACCTGGTCCCTCTCCTCTCCCCAGGGCTGCATTGTGATCCGATATACAGCCCCTTGGCACATGGTCTTCTTCTCTGAGTCCTTGGGCATCCCTTCACTTCGCATGATGGCCCAGAAGCTGCTTGAGCTCCTCTTTGACTATGAGATTGAGAGGGAACCCCTGCTCTTCCATGTCTTCAGCAATGCCGGCGTCATGCTGTACCGCTATGTACTGGAGCTCCTGCAGACCCATCAGCGCTTCCGCCACCTGCATGTGGTGGGCACCATCTTTGACAGTGGTCCTGGTGATAGCAACCTGGTAGGAGCCCTGAGAGCCCTGGCAGCCATTCTGGAGCACCGGTCTGCCATGCTGCGCCTGCTGCTCCTGGTGGCCTTTGCCCTGGTCATAGTCCTGTTCCACTTTCTACTTGCTCCAGTCACTTCACTTTTCCACACCCACTTCTATGAGAGGTTACAGGCTGCAGGCTCCCGCTGGCCTGAGCTCTACCTCTACTCAAGAGCTGATGAGGTAGTCTTGGCCAGGGACGTGGAACGCATGGTAGAGGCACGTCTGGCTCACCAGGTCCTGGTACGCTCAGTGGACTTTGTGTCATCTGCACATGTCAGCCACCTCCGTGACTACCCTACTTGCTACACAAGCCTGTGTGTGGATTTCATGCATAGCTGTGTCCAGTGCTGAGCTCCTACTTCAGAAATAAATGCCTGATACCTCCCTTCAACTTATATCTGTCCTGGGGACTGCTGGTGCACTGCCCCTCAGGAGCCTGAGCTGGAGTGCCAAGGCAGATTCCTTTGGAAGCCTCGCAGTTGTTTGGACAAATGCAGTAGTCAGGCTGCTGATTCCTATGGTATTTAAGCTGTGAAGGGCTAACACGCTGTATGTGTCAGAGTTGATTTTTTAAAAAATTTATAAGGCAAGGCATGGTAGTGCACATCTTTAATCCTAGCACTTGGGAGGCAGAGGCAGGCAGATCTTGTGAGTTCAAGGTCAATCTGGTCTACATAGCAAGTTCTAAGCCGGTCAAGACTGCATAATAAGACCCTGTCTCAAAAAAACAAACAAACAAACAAACAAACAAACAAAAAACCCAGAATTTGAGGGGGCTAGGGAGATAGTTGGTTAAGTCCTTTTGAGTTCAATCCTCCAGAATATGTTTTTTTTTAACATTTTTTAAAAAATATTTTATTTTTATTTTATGTGTATGAGTGTACTGCCTGCATGTATGTGAGTACACCTGTGTCGTGCAATGCCATGGATGTCAGAAGAGGGCTTCAAATTCCCCTGGAACTGGAGTTAAGGACAGTTTGTAGCCGCCATGTGGGTGCTGGGATTGAACCCGGGTCCTCTACAAGAGCAGTCAGTGCTCTTAACCACTGAGCCATCTCTCCAGCCCCCAGATTTCTTTAAAAAAGCTGGACACAGTGGCACATTCTTATAGTTCTAGGGCTGGGGTGGTGGAGATAGGTAAGTTTCTGGGGCTTTCTGGCCAACCAGCCTAGCCTAACTGGTGAACCCCAACCCAGTGAGAGACACTGTCTCAAAACACAAGGTGAACAGTACTTGAGGAATGACATCCTAGGTGGATTGCTGGCCTCCACATGCAGCTGCACACACATGAACACACACACATAAACTGTGGTAAGAACCCTTTACATGGGACCTACTCTTATCAAAATTCCAATTATGTAAAGTACTTAGTAATACCTATTGTTAACTGTGCGTGCAATGTTGTATAGCAGCTCTCTAGTTCTTATTTTGCATAACCTAGAACTTAATCATCTTGTTATTCAACTGAAATTTTATACTGGTTCCCAGAACTGAATTTAGGTGTGTGTGTGTCTGTGTGTGTGACAGGGTCTCACTATATAGCACAGGCTGTCCTCAAACTCTATCCTCCTGCCTCAGCCTCCTAAGTGCTGGGGTTACAGGTATGTACTACCAGACACAATGTTGATTTTTTTTTTTATTTTAAGATAATGTCCAGGCTGGCCTCAAACTCACTATGTAGCTGAGGATGCCTTTGAACTTTTGATCCTCCGGTCTCCATTTCCCAGGTCCTGGGATTACAGGTGTGCACCAACACACCTGGCTTGAATTTTGATTTCTTGAATGGAAGATGAGCCTTGTGGGAGATGCCAGAGACTAGTAGGGTGAGGCTGGGAGCAGTGCTGTAATCTCTGCTCTGGAAGGGCAAAGCCTCACAACATAAAGTGCTGTCCCTATCTGCCCCTTCACTCAGAAGCTGTTTCTGACCTCATGTTCTGGGAATCGAGAGATAGATTACCATATGAGGTGTTGAAGATACGGGTGTTTTTGGGCCTATCTCCCCAACACTTTGTTATGGAGCCACTGACTCTGAGGAATTTGCTGGCTGTGTATTAAAGGGGAAACCTAAATGGGGAACAGAAAGGCAGCCAGGCTAAACAGGATTGAGGACGAGTTAACTCTTGTGTCTTGAAGGCCAGAACCAGGGTAAAGGAATTTTAAATGATACCTTCATCTCCTTGAAGAGGAGCTGCTCTTACTGGATACTCTCCAGCAGGACAGGTGCATTCACCCCTAAGTTCTGTGCCATGTATCATGCTGCAAGTCCCTGCAGCACAATGCTGGTACATAGTATGAATCCAATAAATATTTGCTAATTAAATGAACTTTCTATGATCAAGGAAGGGGCTTGAGTTTCAGGGAAGGGCTTTGAAAGTGTGGTAGTGAAGGAAACTGGTAGAAAGCCATGGATAGCAGGTGACTTTTGATATTCTCAGGGATGATGGACCCCTAGTCTCCAGAGCCTATCTGTACCTGCAGGGCATCTGCTGTCTGGGAGTTTCTGCTGCCTGAGTCCTAGGTGATGTGGCTGCAGTCCTAGTTGTGGCCAACAGGTGGCAGTGCTGCCTGTGCCATGAGAGCTTAAGGAGTCCGCAGCAGGGCAGGCTTTGGTGGAATGCTCACTGGGTTAAATGTGTCCTATTAGAGAGCATACAGCTCCCAGGGTGGGGGTAAGCAGCTGTCAAGGACCTACTGAGTCCAAGGCAGAGAAAGAGAAGAGGCATGAGTCAGGCTGACTAGAACTAAGCACTAAAGCAGAGCCTCACCTCATACCAGGTCTTCCAGACACCAGATTCAGATGCCTCACAATGGAAGCCATAGTCCTGATCTCAAGTCTGAGGAGCTCTGTGCTCAGAATACTTGGTGCCACCAAGCAAGACAAGGGCTGTGACAGGCCTTTGCTGGGCTCTAACCAAGAATGTCTTGTCTTCCATGCTGCTTCTGGGTGCAAAGGGAGCAGCAGCCACCAACTAGACCTGATTCTATAATATTCACTTGGGGGCATCCCAGAGGAGGTGGGTGTCTGAGGCAAAGGGACTAACACAGACACCCAGGGCTTGTTTTTAACTGTAGCTGCCCCTGCCCTAGGTTGGGGGACAGAGCTTACATCCTCTCTGTACCCCAAGCTCTGACCTCTTCTGTGATTAATGAGCTGACGATTCTGCATCGATAAGGAATTAACCTAGAGCCCCTACCCATCAATAGCCAGGAGCCCAGATCCCCAGCCCCACCCCCATGCCTGCTAGCATGCTCCAGGGCCCCCAGTAGACCAACCCTGCATGGCTTCATACACCTACAGCTAAGTGCTCCATAGTGCTGCCCAGAATTAACCTCTTAACTGCCTCACTTAAGATGCCCCCTTCCAATCAACCCCGCTTATGCACACAGACAGCAGCTGGTTTATATTGCTTTTAATCCATGTCAAATGTAGTTTACAAAGGGAAAGGACAAGTACCTTTGTATAGAATATACAGACACAGCATTACACCATGGGACCCACAGGAGGGGCGGGGAGACAACACTTCCCCTGGGAACAGCAGCTCTATTCCCAGAATGGTTCTCAATGGCAGGCTGGGCAGCCGGTGCTCCCCAGCCAGCCCAGACCTCAGCCTGTCTCAGCTCGGTCCTGTTTTCTGCCCTACCGCCAGCTCCTTATAAAGAGCCCCATGAGCTAAGACTAAGGAGAGGATCATATCCCTCGGGGCATGTGCCCCTTATCTGGGAGAAGAAATATACACCACTGAACACCGAGCACATGGGAGAGGGAAGGGACGCCATAGGAGAAGGAAAGGCAGGCACTCTAAGAGGTGGATGGGCCGAGCCCCCAGCCAGCCCTGAAAGCAGCCCTGCTTCTTTTAAAAAAAAAAAAAAAAAAAAAAAAAAAAAAAAATCATACAACCAAAGGGGAGGCGGCGGAGGGCAAAGTTATCCCATTTATACACAACATTGTAAACATACACAGTCTATATTACATGTGCTTCAGTCTGGTGTCTGCATGTCTGTCCATCAGTCTGGGGGCTGGATCTCAGGAGCCTTTCCCTGCTACTCCCCACCCCCACCTCCCTGCCCCACCCTGGAAACAGAGGCCACAATAGGCATGGTCCCCAAGTTCAGAGGGAACAAGCAGGGAGGGCTGCTCCACTCTGGCTCCAGTCCTATATATGTGTGTGCATGTGTATGTGCATGTATGTACACGGGGAACCTGTGTGCAAGTATGTACAGATGGAAAGGGTCACTGTCACAGAGGCTAGGGCAGGTGGGGCTGCTCAAGGCAAGGCCTGCCTGGATGGCTAGCTCACAAGTAGATCCTTCGCAGGTCTCCAGGTGCTGTGATGGTGTTGCATTGAGGGCAGAGCTTCTTGGCACCCTGAAGGAAGAACAGGAAGGGGCAGGTGGTTAGACACAACATGCTATGGGTTTATACATGTGATTACAGGGCCTACAGCCATGTCTCTGTACCAGTATGTGCTGGGACCTTGGTCTTGTCAGCCAGACTGGGTAAGTATGGGCTGCCTCTGAACAAGCAGACACGCTCCTGTGTTGGGGAGACGCCAGGATCAAACCGCCTGGCCAGCCCCACAGCGGGAGCCCCGGTAATGAGAACAAGGCTGGGTCCAGCTGTGGCTGCCTCGGCCCTAACGAGATTACACGCGGCCTTTGATCAGGACACAGAGCCCATGTCCGGGCCTTTTATTGCTGTCTCCGGGCGACATTTTAATGGCTGCTCCTGAGCGAAGAACAGGGGCAGGAGCAGAAGGAGCTTAGTAATGGGAGGGGGAGGGGCACAGGCCCTGGTCTGGCTTACCCACCACTAGCCTCCTCCTGACCCGGGGACCAGTACAAGTGATGCAGCGGGTTTTCTGGGGGTGGGGAGAAGGGAGAGTGTAGTAAGTCCACAGAGGGAAGAACTGAATAAACCCCAAATGAAGAAGAAGACAATGCAATCAATTTGGGGGGAAGGGGGGTGAATCCCTGACTCTGGCTCTATTCCAGGCTTCTGCTCTCCTTGCCTCCCCCAAACAGGTGCAATCATAAAACAGCTACCAGCTCCCCAGCTTCCATGCCACCTCACCAGGGTCCGCAGCCAGCATTCCTCACAGTGCACATGCCAACACTGGATTGACGTTAGGGGCATCGAGTATGAGTCCTAAGGAGGTGGGCAGAAAATGGGTCAGAGGCAAACCCACCCGCTGAGAGCCCAGATACTGCTGAGACCCTCCCCCAGGGGGCACTGATGCCTGACCAGGAACATGCCGGATTCCCTCCTACTCACCATGCAGATGAGGCATTTGTATCGGTCCCCTCGAGATAGCTGCCTTTCAAGCTCCCTGACCCGAGCCTTCAGGGCCTCAAATGTGGTTACAGCTGAATCTTCGGAGATTCTGTAAAGAGGATG